TCTCTCTAAAAAAATAAAATCATACAAAATGTCATACTTAACATCTTGCTATGGTTTTCTTAAAATGACTTTCCCTTTCACCACTACCTTCCTGTTATTTTCTTTCCTTTAGGGATTTTTTAATATCTAAAGTCTTAATTTTGAAGTAACTTTATCATATCCTCCATTAATTCGGTTATTGTGAAAAAGCACGATGGCTGTGTAAGCATGGTCTGATTAGTGATTTTTTTCATATCAGTATGACAAAGAAATTATCGTCATCAATAGAGCAGTGGTATGTTCCAGTAATTCAAGAAATGGAATATTTGATTTGCCAATAACACCTGGAGAAGAACTGGAAGTCATTGACACCACTGAACAAAATCTAGTGATATGTCGCAATTCTAAAGGGAAATGTAAGTTTTTTGGCTTGTTGCCCATAAAATTTCAATCACTATTCCAAAAAAAAAGAGAAAAAAAGACATTTTCTCGAAAAACTTCAGATTAATGACAATGTTTTTTCCCTATAGATGGATATGTACTCATTGAACATCTAGATTTCAAGTAAGTAGTTTAATTTTATACTTCAAATTGTAAGTTATAGATAATATGGTGTTGTGTGCATTAGTCTCAAGGAAAGACTGATGAATTTACTGAAATTCAGGAAAAGTTCTGAAAATTAAAATTCACAGCATGTTCTCTGTCCTGTAAGGAGACATTAGGAGAGACTTTATTACTATCTCCTGAGTCTATTATCAAATTGAACACTGTATATTTATAAACATTTTAAAGCAACATGAAATTATGAAACTGGGTAAGAAAATTCCCAGAAATCTCCTCCTCACTGTTCCATTAGCCCCTACTTCAAAATGTATGTTTCTTTTTTCCCCAGGAGTCAAGGTTGGTCCAGATAGAAAGGTCAAGATCAGAAGGGAAAGGCTGCACAACTGAGAAGGGGTCCTAGCAGCTTAGTCCTGCCTCACAGCAGTTTGTTTACATGTCGAAATCAGATGGAATCTGTGGAACTTTTGTTGGGCACTTGGAAGAAAAAAAAACAAGAAATCCTCAACATTTAGTTGTTGGTTTGACTCTTAAGAGTTTTCTCTTTCAATATCTATTTCACTGCTGGTTTAAAAAAATGTGAAACTGTTATGTGAGCACTTGCTTAATGAACCATGTCCAAAGTTAGAAATCAAGACTATTCAGTTGTGCAGATGGCTGGTTTGCTTCTAATATTAGTAAGATAAGCATGTGTAATTTCTAGATATTAGTTTTAAATTTGGTACAATAAACTCTGATAATGAAGGTCCTCAAAATCCTCAAATTTAAAATATAATAAACAATTCTGA